ATGCCATACAGATTCATGTCAAAAATACCGAACTATCCCTTTAAGGAAAATTTTATGATTATATTTTGTACCATCCAACATCGCCTTGGAGAGTGTCCACTGTCCAAATTGCAATAACAGCTTCAGTCTCAGGGTCATCCCAAGTCACACCACACTCTTTTGAAGCCATTTTAAAAATTGTTGTGTTTAGAAGATTTCGATAGTTGTTTGCAGTTCTTCTTCTTCCTCTGTTTTGTGGCAGTTGGCAAGGAACTTACTGATGTGCATTACCGCCAACTACTGGAAGCTGACTGTATGTCTGCTCATGCACTTTTTGTTATCTGAGAACTGAGCCACAACTGAAGTGCCTCAAGCCGTACTGTTGAACTAGTACCAGTTTTGGTGCAGTTCGGTTGTGTCCGGTACAGTTTAGTGTCCCATTTACACTCAACAGTTATCTCGGTTACCGTGCTTGGACTGATACCGGCAAAGTTTCAAAAGGTTAATGTAAATGGGGCTCAAGTTGTAGCTACAGACATATATAACCTTGAATTTTTTGTAATCATTGTACAGTAGGTCTTGCTTTCCACACAAAAATACTGACTGCTAATCTAAGAAATACCTGCAACTCTTGCCGCTATTTTTGATGCTTTTTTTTTTGGTTGAATGTTGTCTTTTTTGCTGTTGTTCTGTTCTCTGATTTCTTTCTATAGTCTATTGTCTCTCTTTTGTCCCTCTTTCCTTTCTCTATCTCTTTTTGTCTTCACTTAATTCTTATGCCCTCTCCTTTTCTCATGTCCCTTTCTGTCTCTGTTGTATACTATTTTATTCTCTAAATCATCTTTAATAAAGTTTCATGTATAAGTACCAAGCGAAACATTATGGCAACAACCATAATGGTCTGCTTGGAAAGCAAATCTTTTGGGCCATTATCTAGCTCTAGGACCTATATAGGCTGGAAAAACGATCTAGAAATAAGTAAAATGTTCTCAAATTAAATGTATTTACCCTTAATTTGAGTAGGTAAATTAGGTAGTTTGCCAATAGAATGAGTATTTTTACTCTTAAAATAAGATAATTAGATAACATGCACTTGAAATAAGACAATTTAATTGTGTTTTCTTACTGTATTTTAAATGTAAATTGTCTTGTTCCATTGGCAAAATGTCTCTTTTACCTCCTCAAACCAAGAACAAATGCACTTATTTTAAGAAACAATGACTTAGTAAGATCTAAATTTTTTCCAGGCAAAACAGATCACACAAGAAAAAAAAATGTTTCTTTCACACCAACTAACACCCTGAACATACCACTAGTTATAATACATTGTTAGATTTATATTACTATTTTGATAACTAACCATCACTCCAAAATACAGATTAAGGAGTAATCTAGATTTAAAGGTCTAGGCAAGGTAGAAACTTGATATGTAACAGAAAAACAATAATACTAAACAAGGAATAAAAGATCTACAGACGTGCAGTATGCTAAAGGAAAATTGAAAATAATTAATTCAAGAACTACTTCTGATGTAAAATATGTATAATATTGTAATTCTTTTTGCAAAAATGAACTATTGACTACTGAACAGTACACCTCACTAAAAAGTTACAGATGTAGCAAACACAGCAAATATATGGGCACTCCAAATGGAACCAACACATATCTCCCTTATGATAAGCTTGACATGGAGGAGCACCCTGGTATGTGACAACCATCTATACACCCATAAACTGGTAGGAGGCCATGCCCATAAAAATTGTGCCGTTCAGTTTGTTATACCTTGATTTCATTTGGCAAAGAGATGTACTGCTGATGCTAAATGTTTCTGCCCCAATCCAACTCTGCAGTTAGTCAGTGTATATACAGCAATAATGCTTTTCTTTTTAGGTGGCAATTCAAATCTTTAATAATGCACAGTTTTCTCTAAAAAGGATCTCACAGCTTTACACAGTTAATCAAAAGTTGATTGTATTATTCAAAAGTGTTACATTTCCACCTCTGTAAAATCGAGAGCTACAAAACACCATTTACTTAGCTGCTTTCAAGAGCTTTGCTGATACCTCAAAAAGACCCTAACTTTTCATGTAATAGCTGATGACGAGCATTAGTGCCATTGCTGAAATATGAATATGTCTTATGTAAATGTTTACATTCTTTTTTTCACAACTTATTTACATGGGATTTTGTAATTGCAAAGTTTTAGTTCTTTTGAAAACACCATTAAACTTTTGTGCACATCTGTAATGGAAAAAAAGCTGCTGATACCAACTTTGATCTCCTTCACTAGCACAAACAGCCAAGACGCCGATTTAAAAATATGCCTTAAGAATATGCCTTGGTATATTCTTAGATACCAAGTGTGTAAAAGTAATCGTTCACCATAAAGTATTGTACTGTACATTATACAGTTTTACTGTGTACAATGAAACTATTTATTTTTTATAAGTATGTTTCAAAAATAATTTGTTTATTAATTGTAAAGTAACCAATTTAACCTCTGGCTTGTGCCAGGCAATGGATATGATATGATGATTAACTTTAGAATGCCTGGGTGAAAGCATAGAAAAGGGAGAAGTGGATGATTCCCCTTAGCTTCCTGCTGCTGTCTGTTTGTTCTTTTTGCCAAGTCCTCAACACTGCTTGCGCAATGGCAGATCTTTTAAAAAATGACCCTTTTTGCATGACAAAGGCAGATTACTCCAGGGTGGCTGCGCGTGAGGGAGGAAAGGAAGGAGGAGTGTTGAAGCTGAAAGGAGAAGGGGTGGCAGATAGCGCCGTGGGTAGATGCACAGGGAGCACTGGTTCTTTCCCTATGAGGAGATTGTAGACACTACAGGAAATGGTTGATATTGACTCAGAGGTAGTGCATGAGGAGCCTAAGCTGCATTTATTTTCCGCTATTCCATGTATTTGGCACTTCTTTCCTGAGTGACAGGAAATCATGGTGTATTTTTGGTGTAAAGAAGAAACTAGCAATATTTTTTACAATTTTTAATAGTCAGTGGTTGAACAGAGCCATTGTCAAACACAGCTGGCTGTGCTTGTGAAGATTTTTCTTGTAACAATTACCAATGTTGGATTTTACACAGCAATGTTTTTGAAGCAACTGTTAACCAACTGATCATATCTTCTGCGTAGAAATGACCGGAGCCTTGCTTACAGGACTCTTATTTGTCTTGATGAAGGTAAGAATGTTTACATTATACATTGCATTGTGTGTCATATGCCATGATAAGAAGAATCATACTAAATTTATAATTTAAAATGCATTATAAACAATCATGTTTAATATATTTAAAATAATGAGTGTTAACACAATAGATATATAATTCTTCCTAAGAATGATATAAGTGAACTGGAAATCCTTTGCTGTAGGCAGTATGTGATGGTGAGCCAACACATGGTGGGCCAGAGACAATAAAGAACCCCTATGGTGAGAGAACAGATGATTCATATATTCTTCAATTTGACATATTCAAGACTTTAAAAAATGTATCCACAGACTAAAACACTTTCAATCATTTCATCTGTAATGTGCTTATTTTTGTGCTTCCCAGAGCAAGACAAGCTTCTATATCAAACCTCACAATGGGTGCTGAAGTTGTTTAATGACTCGCTGCCCTTTTCCAGAGCTGAGAGTTTCTGCAGAGGTCAGTTCAGCTCTCTTATCACCCTGAAAGAGCTAAAGGAAAATAAAGAAACTTTAGAGTTTCTTCAGCAGACCGGACTTCATTCTCCAGTCTGGGTCAAAGATTATAACAGAGGAGCCTCCGAGGCATTAGCTCTCTCAAGGCAGTGTAAGTGAAGTTATACATTTCCCAACTATAATCAACATTTTTCTTCAACTAAAACTATTTTCTTCTCTCTTTTGGTATAGATATGGAGTTCTCGGCTCTTAATTTCCCGAAGGAGTCCCATGAAGGCTTTGCTCGTGTTAACGTGTCCTTTCCCGCACTGTCCTCTGTCAGTGTGTGTGTTCGGGTTCAGTGGTACACAGAGTGGAGTGATGCATCCACTGTCTTCTCCTATGCTGCACCTGTTCTGAACAATGAATTTCAGCTACGAGGCCAAGTTGACATGAAGGGTCATATCCACCTGGCACTCATAATCCATGGAAAGCATTTTCCATATAAGGCATCTTTTGCAAACGACGGAGCATGGCATCACATCTGTGCAACTTGGAGCCGGATCAGCAATTACTGGGCTATCTATGTGGATGGTGAAAAGAGAGACATGGGCTATGGTACAGATATGGACCGAGACATTCACGGTGATGGTATATTTATTTTGGGCCAAGACCAAGATTCTTTTGGAGGCAATTTTACTGAGCCCTTTTTTGGGAATATCACTGACCTGAATGTTTGGAACATTTCTTTGGAATCAAGACATGTTCGGGCCTTAAATTTATGTTCAACCATGATAAAGGAAAAGTTTTTCAGTTGGAACCTCAGTCTTATACACAACCATGATGTTGTGAAAGAGGTACAAGCCACTATATTCTGTCCAGGTAAGATAACAGTCTAATTCCTAAAACTATAAGTTCAGAATAAATAAGAGCTTTTAATTCCCCATTCCTATAAAACAACCATGTTTTATACCTATTAAATAATAACCTAAATGGCAGCACAAAAGTTCAGTTTTACTTGATGTCTGCTCAGTTAACACAAAACTAATTAATGAATACATTTGAAGTTTGACTTTGATTAGATCAAGAAGTAAAAAATAATTTATATCTAATATCTGATATTTTGTTGATGAATTTGCTGTCAAATATTTCAATCTGAAAAACTCCCACAAAGAGAAAAGACAATTGGGATAAATTTATTGATAAAATTATTTTGGCTTTGGCGCTCAGACCTCGGTCGATATGCATGAACAGCAGCAAAGAATAGGACTGTCCACCCCCCCCCCCAGGCCTGAAACTAATGCTGGCGTGAAGATAGATTAAGCTGGTTAGTCTGTAGACTGCTGGTTAGCGAGACGGTATGCTGAGCTTTATGGGGAGATCCAGTGGATAGTGTGAGCTGATACTAGAGCTTCACTCAGGGAGCTGGAGGATGGATAACACAGTTGGATAACACAGGTTGAGAGAACCTGTCCATGATGAACAAGCATGAAGCGACAGTGGAAAGAAACCTCTGGCAGAACCAGGCTCAGCATGGCGGTGTTTTGCTGGACCGGTTAAGATGAGACAGGGAACACAGTTAGAGTCCAGGATGACTGACACTCTGATGAAGCTTTAGCTACAATAGTGGAGAAAGGGATGGAGGTGGGTTGAAACAGTGTCATCTGAATGAAGAATGCATGCAGGCGTTGGAGCAGACTGGTGCGTATCAGAGGCCTTTTAAGATGAGCTTTGGATGCTGATTGGCTTTCGTGGCTGTATGGTTCAAAGCTGATTGGCTGCTTCGCAGGTGGATGTATGAAAAACAATGAGTTTCTTCAGTTGACCTTCCGCTTCCATTTATATAGCAAGTTATTCATTCCATCCCTTTGAATGAAAAGGTTTTGAATTCTTAGGTAATAATGTTATTTTTGCTTTGAACATAAATGGTAAAAATCTAAATGCTCTTTTTTGTAGTGTAGCTAATGACTGTAGGCTTGTTTTATATTATATTATATTATATTATTTTGCTAAACCTCAACACAATATGTAAGTTATATTAAAACAAGAGAACAATATGATTTATTGAGGCCTGTGTTGTCTAAAACATCTATCGCTCTCTTGAGGATAGCAATGCTTTATGACACTTTATTTTGTATATACATAGCAGATTTCCAAATCATTTAACTGTCCATAACTCCTCCTAAAAATGTAATTTAATTTCCAAGTAGAATATTGATTTAATCCAAAGGGTCAATTGTATCTATTGTTGCTCCAATGCCAGATACAGGCCCAGATACCGATACCTGGCTGTGCGGTATTGGCCGATACCGATACCATACCGATACCATCTGTTTGAAATTGATGTGTGTGTATATATATATATATATATATATATATATATATATATATATATATATATATATATATATATATGAAGAACTGCATACTACTTGCATGNATGTAAAATAATTGCCATCATGGCTTTGTCAAACTGCTGCCTACCTTTGTGAAGCAGGAAAAAGACTATTACAAAGTGAATCCATTAGAACTTTTTATTGCCTACCTGGAATGGGTGACAATAGTTAAATAAACTTCTGGCTTCTGGCTTTAATTAAACTTCTTACATTATTAATTGAGTAATCTCTTTTAAACCCTGAGATTTGGCTCTCAAATGCCACAATAGTGCAACTTTCCTGAACTTTCATTAACTACTAGTGCAACAGTTAGAAAGTAAAATGACATTAATATTTCAATAAACTTGAATTAATTCGCGTGAAGAATGAAGCTTTCCGGTCTGAATGTTTCCAAGTCTATGCAGAGGGCTGTCAAGCTAAGCAGGGACAGTGGGGAGACTTGGCTGCTCCAGAGGTTGGTTGAAAAGCTTATGGGCCTGCTTCCCCTAGCTTTCCTAAATCATGCTCCTTTACTTTATTTTTTAGTGCAGGGATAGTCTTCCCTGTGATGTATGTGCGACTAGGGACCTTATATTTAAGTACCGCATGAGCCATTAAAAGCTGGAAGCCCACGCTTTCGATGAAGGAGAGGTTACAGAGAACAGTCATCTCAGGTATTTCCTCAGACATCTGTCTTGCTGCTTCGCACTTCTCGTCCCACTGCTCTTTCCCACAAAGTGAACTGACCAGGGTTTGTTGTTGAGGTCTTATCCTGTTTCTCTTGGCAGTCTCAAACTCTGTGTGTACATTCACATGTTTCGACTTCAAATGTTTGAGCAGGTTCGAGGTATTGAATTCTATCTGTATTATTTGGTCTATTTCCAAAATACATTATTTTGGTTTAATTAAATTTTAATATAATTTATTTACTGCAAACTATAGTTTGAATGTATCAAATCATCCAGTTGATCAAATGTTGTTTTTAACGTTATTAATTAATGTCTTTATGTCAGTACCAGAACCATAAAAATAGGTTTCATCAGCAAAAACATTGGTTTAACATAACACAAATTATTAATATAAAGAAGTGATGTTGAAGAAGAAGATGTGTTAAAGAAAAAAAAAACAGAAGCTACATGCTTTTTCAAAGCACTTTGCATCTTAGTCATGTAGATGACATCATAAGGTACTACTTTAGTCTGTTTTTTTAAGAATTACTACTATGTCTTAGTTAACCACCCCACCCAATGTGAAATTGAATTATACTGAAAGAGAAATACCTTCTTTGGCAAAATGAATAGTTGTTCAACCTTATTGTTTTGTAAGCATGTCTTTAATGTTTTTCTTTTAGTTTCTTTTTCCTTTTTTGTTCTATGTATGGGTGTATTTTGATAACGTTTGAATGTGTGAACAGCAATACACCAGCAGATGGAGCTACAGGGCTGCAGGACATTTCAAGGATGGTCAGATCAGCTTCCTTCCTTGGACTGGACAGACTGCTCGGATTTTCTACCTTTCATCTGCAGGAGCAGCAGAGGTGGGCTGTTTCTTTACATTTTGTCAGGATAATCCATGGTTTGTCAGCTTGCATAGAACTGTTCAAAGCAAACCACGCACATCCACATGGAAAAAATTGTGGTACCCATCATTTAATGACAGAAAAACCCCCAGTGACAGAAATAACTCGTTCTGACTCATAAATAAAATTCTATGAAAATAAAACATGGAAATCAGACATTACTCTTCAACAACAATTTAAGAGAATTTTATAAAAATAAAATCACAAAACAGGCCTGGACAAAAATTATGCTATCCTTAATTCAGTGTTGTTTTGCACAACCTTTTCGGTCAATCACTGCAATCAAATGATTCCTGTAACTGTCAATGAGACATCTGCTCCTCTCAGCAGGTATTTTTGCACACTCCTCATGAGCAAACATCTCTGGTTGTCTCGGGTCTGAAAGGCGCCTCTCCAGATGGCATGTTTCAGCTCCTTCTTAAAATGTTCAATAGGATATAGATTATAGAAGCCAGCTTAAGAATATTCCAGTCTCATCAGTTCATAGGACCTTCTTCCAGAAGTTTCATAGGTTATCCTCAGGTAATTTGGCAAAATTACAGTCTGCTTTTTTGTGATTTGTTTTCAACAATGATTATCTTCCTTAGTCATCTCCCATTAAATTTAACTTTAGTTCAGTGAGGGATACTGTGATCTATAACTGAACTTTATTTATATAACACTAGAGAAATTCAGCACTTCATTCAACCCATCCCCTTGTGGGGCGGCACCAGGGGGGCAGGGTGGGGTTAAGGGTTTTAATCAGGGACCCAGAGGGGCAGTGTGTGGGAGTTGAATTCTGAACCTCCAGGACCCAAACACAGTTGGGTTTTTCTCAGCTCTTTTGTTAAAATCTTTCCTGTGTCTCTTTTCTTTGTAATCAAGTTTTCTCCTGCTACCACATCCAGGGAGTTTGGCTCAATAGCATTGATCTCAAATCTCGGAATAATATGTGCAAATGAAGTCACAGGAGCTTCAAACAGCTCATAGATGGTCTTGTAGCCCTTTTTCCTTCTTATTTCTTGAAACAACTCAAGTCTTCGCTTTCTCCTGTCCATGTTGAGTGTGGTACACACCATGTCACAAAGTAGCACAGTGACTAACTGTAGTCCTTATACAGGCACATTGACTGATTAGAGGATTGTAAACACATGTGATGCTAATTAGTGGACACAACTTAATGTCATATGTACCTTTGGTCACATTATTTTTAGTCTTGTTAAGGCCTGCTTTGTGAGCTCATTTTTTTTTTTAATCGTTATTTTGAAGCATGGTTGAATCACTGAATTTCAGATGTTCATTTTCATAAAGTTTTATTTATTATTACTTTTGTCAGATTCTAGTTATTTTTCTAATCCTCTGTGGGAGTTTTCTTCGATAAACAGTTGGTACTGACAATTTTGTCCACATCTCTAAATAAACACAGCAATGTTCAGAAAAAAGCTTGGAGTCTTTTGAAATTATAGAATTATAATGTCATACTGTTGAATAAGAAAAAAAACATATTTAGTTAAAGGAAAGTCCAAACACCTTTTTATCATTCACACATCCATATTTGTTCAGGATGAAACATTCCCTTTATAACTATTCCCAAAGTGTAAATTTAGATAAATGAAGATAATATATACATGACCTATCCATCTATCGTGCAATCCAAAATCTGTTCAGGATGATTAACCAGTACACTTGAAAGCAAACCAATGTGACCAGCTAACCTAACATGCTTTTCTATTGGCCTATGTGAGGTAACAAGCACACACACTTTTTATCCACTGGTGGTACACAGAGGATTGACAAATATCAAGTGTTTTTATCGTTAATATGTATGTATACCATAATGAAATTTTGCTGAGACACTGGTTTAAAACATACATATATATGGCACAAATTTAAAAAACACTTGATTATATTTCACTACAATGAAAAATAAACACCCTTAAATAAAAACACCCTTTTAAAAAAAAGAACACACAAAGTAATTTATTTAATACCCTTTATAATTTTTTCAAAAAATATATAGTACATTATACACTACATATATACAGTATATACTACATTATATTTACTGTAGAGAAATATATTATGTAGTTATTTGCATTAAATTTAGATTGCTAAACAGTCTGTATGAAATGGGTCATGAGTCTTTTTGGTGTCAGCTGGGGTGTTTGTGTGACCTTGTTGCTGCAGTCCTCTTCTTGGGGTGGTGGTCAGGTTTAAGAATTAGTTGTGAATTTTGTTCAATGTAGGTTAGGTTTAGGTACTGTATAGCGTTAGGCTTAGGGTTAGGCCATGGAAATGAATCGCAAATGAATGGAAGGCAATGGTGCTTGGTACCAAGCATGGTCTGACACAACATGTGGGTTTATGTGTTTGTGTGTAGTCCCTACATGGTAGGGACAAAATGTCTGTTAAAACCCTGCATTGTGGAGACCAACCGTCATTGTGGGGACCTACACCAGGTCCCTTGGTAGAGATTACTGTTAAAGACCTAGGTGTTAGGTTTGAGATTAAGATGTGAATATAGTTTTGGTTGGGATTAGGTATGTACGTGTTATGGTTAGGTTTAGGGTAAGGATTAGACTGTAGAAATCGCCTACAAATTAATGACAATCAATGGAAACTCCCCACTAGGATAGAGAAGGATCTTTTGCCTTATTTTGTTTTGGATGGAATGCTCACGTATCATTTTCTGTATGGAAATGGGACAAATGCATTGCCTCGGTAGGTTGGATCTGTGGATCTGAGTGAACTTGATGGACTTGCGCAACATAATCTGAGTCCACATCTGGTAGGGAGCATTTTAACAATCCTCGGTACTGTTCCCTAGGCTGCCTGTCCTCTTCTGTGCCGTGCAGCTACCACATCACTCTCAGGCAAAGAAAAAATGCTTTCGATTTTGGCCCCATAAAGGTTTGCGAGTAGCTGAAGAAAGTTCTGTCTATTTAAGCTTTTTGAAAAAAATTGACATTGGGCACTCAGGAGTGAATGCACAGGAACCTCATGCTGTCCACATGCTCCACCACCTCCACATGTATTCAGAGAGAAGCATGTTCATTCTTCCTGGACCTACAGTAGTCCCCTATAACCTCCTTGTAATGTAGGGTGCCAAACCTGAGCCTTTAAATGCTGCCTGTTCTCCTGTTTGCCCAAAACAAAGAGTTCCTCTTCCATAGAATCGGAGATGCAGTTTTCTAACCACTTCTCTGTCCTTTAGGATCCCCCCTCAGCTATCTATGGTATGAACCGATTTTATGGCAGCCTCGCTTCTGTCAGCTCGCCCCAGGTCAGTCGTGACTTTTGCAGTGATGTTTTAAATTCCATTGATGAAATTGCCACTGAACAAGATGGCTTTTTTAACTGGTCATAGGAAATTGTTGACTGTCATACCCAAAAATTTGAGTGCAGGTTTCCTCTGTGTTTCTGGCGCCCTCCCTTCCATCAGGGTGTGACAGGCAGGTTGCTGTTCTCTAAGTCCTTCTCATTATACACTTATGATGAGAGATCAAAAAGGAGCAAAAGTCAGAGAGAAAGCATCACTTATGGTTCTACTGGAACGGTTATCTGGCTTAAGAACTTTTTTTTTCTTTTTCCTGCTTTGTATCATTCTTATCTTTTGCATGTCCTCACTTTGCAAGAAAGCCCATGCTGTTTCTCATCCTGCTTCAGTCCTTCTTTTCAATTTGTCTGAATAATTGGGAACCTGCTCCAAGTTTCCTGCCTATGAGCTTTTTTTCCACCTCTGGTGCTTTGCTACTGGCTCTTTTGAGCACATACTGCTTATACAGCTGTTCCATTTCATCTGCTTGTCTACCCACCAACGATTTGCACCTCTCCATGCTTCTTCAGTGTGAATGAAAGAAATCAGTTTGAGAGATTAAATGAAGCCAGTCTTGGGTGCAGAGGTGGTGCAGGCATTAAGAGCGTGACCCATGTCCAGAGGCTCTAATCCTCAATGCACCGTCACTGGTTCAAGTCCCTGTCTGGTGAACCTTGCTGCATGTCTTCCCCCTCTGTTCCATTTCCTGTTTGCTCTCTTTAAAAAAAAGACCACTAGAGCCTAAAAATAATCTGTAGAAAAAAAAAAATGCAACTAGTTTCATTGCTTGGAAACCTCAGCTGTCTGGTCATGGATTCTACAGCTGCATAGCTATAAGTAATCCTGTATAAAACAAACTTTGAAGTAATCCCTTCAAAGTGTGACATGTTTCAGACTAAAGTTTAATATCTTTGGTAAAAAGGTAACATCTTGGTCGATCTGTTCTTAGACTTGTTTCTATGTTTTTTTAGATTGAACTTTAAAGTGTTTTCTTTTGTTTGATTCCTGTACATTTCTCTATTTCCAATAGGACCTGGGAAACAGTGACCAGCAGAGCATTCATTTATGTTATCTTCTGTTTAATATATTATGCCATGCTGATTTTTACATGTAGCTAAAAGTGTTTTATCTTTACTTTATAAAAGAAAAGACATTCAAACTACAAACCTTGCAGGTATTCATTATTTTGCATTTTTTTATGGATTTTGACTTACCGTACTAAAGTTAGATAGGCTAACTCCTTATATTGCAGGGGAACATTATTATCTACAATATGTTTTATCTTTAGATTTATGTCTAAATTGCATGTTCTCCTGAAAGCAGAATCAAAGCCATTAAAGTTGATAATTAAAACGTGTTCTGTTCTCTCTCCTACAGAGCGGCACCACAAGATGGAGCAGATCAGTATGTCTCAGAGCAGCCAGCCCTCAGCCTTCATGAACCAACTAAAGAAGCTTTCCAATAAAAGCCAGGTAGACCACACCTAGTATCATATTCAGAATGGCTGGTATCAAGCTTTAGACATCCTACAGCTAGAGTTCATACTTCCTTGTTTGTTTGAACAATGGATCAGTTTAATGTAACTAGTCTAAACAATGCAAGGTACTGCAGCTATTTAAAAAAAACTGTGATTACCAACATAACAAAATACATAGAAATTTACTTAGAATTAAAACACAATGAAAATCTCAGCTGGAAATAAAAGACACGTAATGTGTTTTGCAAATAGTGTAACAGAAAATGTAGAATAAATTGTGTTGTCACCTACTTTAAGTCTGAAACTTTTATTGTGTTCTAAAACCTCCAACTGAAAAACGACAAATTACTTTTTCAAATTGCAGCCAGCTAACAAAAAAAGTATTCACAAAAAGAGAAAAAAATATTTTTTTTCTTTTTGCAAAAATAGGGAAAATGCTAGATATGGACAGTTTTTAGTTCCACTTGTTCAATTTTAGTTTCTTTTTCTTTCCTAAAACACAATACATAAATCTAACTAGACCTTAACTAAAAAATACCAATATGGAATGAACAAAAAAAGAGGTTATATGCAGAAAAAAAAAACACATTTACAAACTAATTAATAAATCCTTATGTAAAAACATAGCTCCTGAAATATATTAGACATTAGGGGCAATTAGAAACATTTCTATACAGAATTAAACTGATAAGCAAAATTTTGTCATTGAATATTGTCCAAGTTGTAGTACATGGGCTTCCCAATCCAATCCAACTTAAAAGTGATTTTTAGCAACATTAACATTATCAATAAAAGTTTTTACTGCACAGAAATATTTCTCAAATAATGGAGAAGTTAAATGTTGAAACTTTTCAATCTGGAGAGACCCACACAGAGAAAGAAAGACTAGCTGATTGCAAGGTTTTGGTAACTCTCTGCAATCCCTCGCACTGAGCATGCATGTAGCAACAGTGGAGAGGAAAACTCCCTTATAAAAGGAAGAAACCTCCAGCAGAACCAGGCTCAGAGTGAGCGGCCATCTGCCGAGGCCGACTGGGGTTCAAGGAGACGAAAGCAGATAAATGAAATAAGTTCTTTGGCACCCGGGACCCCAGCAGAAGACTTCGATGCTGTGAATCAACATCCGCTTGAATGAGCAACCTAGAAAATGATTAGAATAGTCGCCCCCCGGACACTGGTGGTGGAATAAGCCAGAGGGTGCATGGGACTGAGAATGAGAGAGGAGGTGGGTGAAAATTTGCTTGCGTGCAGGATACAGAAGCTAGTCCAGGAGTTCAAATGAAGGGGATCTTCAAAGATGATTAACTTCAGAGAAGATGTGGCCCCAAGTTGATTGGCTGGAGCTTAACGATGGATGTGGGGGTGGTTCAGTAAAAGCCGATAAGAGTCTTCCAGATTGAAGTCTTAAATGAGGAATAGTGGTCCCTATGTTGGTGTCATTCTGTTGGCATTACAGAAAAATATTTTTAAAAAACTTCTTCTTATAAATAGTCCAAAATACAGCTGTGTTTATTACTTCATACTCTTTGGAATGTTCCAATATCTACAGTCCTTGCTTTCTTCTGACTGCCTTTTAAATAGGAATACAGGGGAGCATATGAGGTGCATTTAAGTTATAATTGAAACACCAAAGTATTTAAAAGTGTAAAACCTAAAGGGATCATTATGTTATGGCAATTCTGTTTGAAATGACTTATCCTAATTAAATTAGGATTGTATATATTCAATTCAGTTTATTTATATAGCTCCAATTCACAACACATGTTATCTTAAGGCACTTTACAGTTCACCAGGAAAACCCGTTGATTGCATTGACTTATTGACTCGAAGGCAATCCCTCACACCAAGCATGCTTGTAGCGACAGTGGAGAGGATAAACTCTCTTTTAACAGCAACTAAAAGGCGGCCCCTTCCAGGAAACACACAGCCAGGCAGATGAGCTCCAAGCCAGGTCCCATATCAGAAGGTGAAGAGAGCACATACGACCAGTCACATTCAGAGAAACTGGACTACACTGAAAAACAGGCTGATCTCGAACATCTATAAACAAAGGTGTTCATGGCAGCAGCACAGCTGATATATCTAGAAACCATGGCTGTGTCATGTAACATTTTAAATAGGACAAAAGCACTGGTAACTATCTGTCACATAAAACAGCATTTGATCGATTGTAAACGATAGACATTAAAAGGATATGTTTTCCTTTGGCATATTACCTTAATGTACTACATTCAAACAAGTTCTTTAAGCCAAAATTATTTAGTCAGTTGTTTAGAACAGCTTTATAGAATTTAGATAAAAATCATTTTCTATTAGATATTATTCTGTAAAACGATATTCGAAAAATTATAGATTAATTGAAAATTATTGTTCAATTAAATCAAAGATTTTTTTTTTTCTTTTAGCAGACATCCCAAGTCTCCCGAAAGTTCCGGGAGTCTCCCTAAAACAGATAGTTGAACATGGATGCCCGGATGTCCCGGATTTTAGACGCTGCGAGGTGGTGTTTTTTAATGCGAGTTAGAGCGTACAGGCAGTACAATAACTCATGCATCATTTGTCGATTAGAACTACTTTGATTGCTCAGGAACAACAAGAGAGAGCGGGGTGTGAGGAGGAGGTTGCTGGTGAAACCTGTGCAGCGTATCTGTCCAAAGCGATGCTTTGTTCAACCAGCCTTCCAGGCGACTGGTTGTCAGAGAGCTGATTGGATCAGTCCGATAAGTTTTTCTGGGTTACTCTCTGGCAGTCACCTAGTTACCACTCAAAGCTGTGCATCCTGGGAAACGGCAGAGGTTAAATCCTCGAGTAAAAAACGAAAATATAGGACTAATTTTACAGCAGAATATACTAAAGTATATCCACGTCTAGTGAAGGTGAGGAACAGTGGCGGATCTAGACTCCCACGAACCAGGGGGCCAGGAGGGGGGCAGCGTCTTTTCATGGGGGCTCAGAAAAGCATGAAATAAAAAACAGGGCAAGGGATTCAAATATATTAAGAGGGCTGCATGAAGTGAAATTTCTTTTCAATTAGGTTCAATAAAAATTTCATTTCTTATGAGGTCAATATACATTTATAATTTAGGAATTTTACTTATTTTTTGACTTAATTTAAGTGAAAACTACCGTTTTCTCTAAAATTTGAATTAGAACTAAAGAGAAACTGTTAAATTCGTCTGTAAAAATTAGAGCATTTGTTTTATTTGTTGTGAATAATTAGTAAAACTGAATTTGTATAGAAAAATAATTAAATAGATCCAAAGGACCTATCAGTAACCAGGTCTGATCCAGTGCATATCATCATTAGAATCTCTTTTAAGTATTATGTCTTCAGTACAGGGGCCATAACAGGGTCCAGGACATGATCTACAGGGGCACTGGCCCCCATTGGCCCCTGTCTAGAACCGTGGCGAGGTGCACTGTATGCTGAAGTCCCATGAAAAACAGAAAGCACAACCGATGTTCAAGGCTACAAGATTAAAAGTATTGAAAACTGAAAATAACAGACCAACACTGTTCTGTTATGTGTTTAAGAAATTACTGTTAGTTAAAAAACAGCTGTTGAAAAGTTGCTGGCCTTAAGTGTTTATGTATGGGGCACGGTGTGGGTCTGTTGTCCCCGGGGGGCGGGGGGTTGGGGGATAAGCATCTCCCTGAAATGAGTTTTTGGAACTTTGGATGTCTGTTTCAGTCTCAGCCGGTGCAGGAGCCATCTGGACTGGAAACCCTGGCACAGGCTTCGACGCTGCTGAACATCTCTGTTCAGGCCCTGGAAGACACCCAGCAGGAAGGACTGCAGCCAGCGGACATGTTGACGCTCATCCAACTGCTGGTGCTGACTGCTGACGTCTCATCTGAGCCGACCGTCTGTGCTGAAAACAGCAGCTGTGACAACGTCCAGGAGCTCAGTCAGCACTTCATCAGTGTAGCTGACAGCATCATCAGTGAAGAGAATGCAGACAAGTGGCAGGCCATAAAAGAGGTAGTACACCATGTGTAAAGGAGGTTTGCCTAACTATTACTGTTGTTGTTCTGCTGATCGATGCATGTTAACATTTTCTAAAGCTATGTAAAAAGCTTTCTTTTGAGGATATTTTAAGTCTAAAATTTCTTCATTAAACTCCTAAAAACAACTAATAGAGCAGGAAAAT